GGGCTGCAATGTCTTTCCAAGAGAGGTGGGCTGCAATGCAGAAGTTTGTAGGCCTTTTTTTTAGGGTGTTCTTCTTTTTTTTACATACTGATCACTTTGTCATTTATGTGAAGACAGTTTTGTACAGAAGATCCATTTGGAAATTCTGTAGTTATATATGTGAAATACATGGCCTGCCCATCTAAGTTAAATTTTCTAGAGGGTGGTCTCCATGTTATTGAACCTGGCATATTTAAAGACCTACACAACGAACATTGTTAGCCACTAACAGTCCCCATTAATAGCTATTCACCCTCCTAGCTAGATTGTTGTTCACTCCTTTGTCTGTCCAACTGTTCTTTTCTCTGTTTGGGCTTTAGCCCCACCTATTGTTTACTCCCTAACCCATCCTCTCACCCTATCTTCTCCATATAAACTGATGCTTTCCTAGCTACCATCAGTTCTGAGGAAGGGTCCCTTGACCCAAAACGTTAACTCTGATTTTTCTCCACAGGTGCTGCCAGACCTGCAATTTCTGTTTTTGTTTCTGATTTACAGCATCCGCATTTCTTTCAGTTGTCACAATTAAAGACATCATTGCTTGTCATTTTGCCCTATGTCACATTCTCATATTGGACCTCAAGTGTATTTGTGTGTTCCAGAGCTTTAATGTCGTGCCTGTAGCAAATCCAGGATTCTGTACTGTACACCAGAGTGATAAGGACACTGGCCTAGTAGAGTTTAACTACGGTCTTCAGCTTAATACTGGTGTTAGCTGTAAATAGAACCTGCTTTTTGGATGCATACATTGGGATATTCATCATTAGTAACATTCCTAGAAAGAATACTACGGAGGTATGAGAATTTTTTTTACAACCTTGTACTGACTGAAACATAATCTTGGTCTTAGAGATAATTATTTGAAATCCCATCTGTTTGCCACCACTTGGATTTGTTTTCTATGTTCTGGATGCTGTCTTTATTGTGGTCACCTAGGGCACAGTCACCTGCATTCGGATGTTCCCTGATTACTGGTTCTGAGACTTTCATGGTACTTAGTGCAGCACTATTAGTACTGTCCAGTCGGGTGTTGGCTTTTAGCTGAGATATTGAACTGAGGCTGCAGTTGCCTTCTCGGATATATTTGTTTAGAAAGAGCAGGGGAGTTCATCTGGTATCTCTGCCAACGTTGATTCCCTCAAACTGTATCATTAAAGCAAATGAATTGGACGTTTATCTAGTTGTTGTTTGTGTCTTTACCGTTTGAATATTACCTGCCATGTTTGCCTACAAAAAACATGAAGTACTTTACGACAGACAGTTGCAAGTTCTCTTATCAGAGGTTGACCATTCAGTCCCAGTGCTGTTTGCCTATAATATTCCCTCTCACAACCACTTCTTTCCCTGAACTTAAAGAAATCGCTTCTTTTACAAACCTTTAGTTTTAGCTTCTGTGCTTTTTCTCTGCTTTTCAATGTTCCCACTCCTTGCTGTTTCATCTTGTACATGAGGTAGCAATAGTAACAACTTAGATTTATAAAGCTCCTTTAACATAGTAAAGCATCCCAAGGAACTCTCAGGAGCGTTGCCAAGCAAAGCTGGATACAGAGCGATATGAGATTGGAACAGGTGGTTAAAAACTGTGCTAAAGGGGTGAGTTTTGAGCATTTTAAAGGAAGAGAGAGAGGTGGAAACGTGGATAGGTATAAAGAGGATATTCCAGGGCCAATGGCCTATTAAGTTGAGGGCACAGCTTCCTAAAATTGCAATGTGCCAGAGGCCCCAGAGATCAGGGCAGATGATGGAATTGGAGCTGATTTGGAAAGCAAAGGGCACAGATTGATTTGAAAAGAAAGATGCGAATTTTAGAGCAGATGTTGTGGACCAGGAGCACTCTGTGATGGCTGAACAAGGCTTGATATGAGTTTTTGAGTGTTCACCCTTTGGAGGGTGAAAGATGAGAGGTCGGCAATGTAAATATTGGAATAGTCAAATTTAATAGTAACAAACACATGAATGAGGGTTTTGGCAGGAAAGAGTATGGGCAGGGCAGGGGCAGGAATGGACAATATCACACAAGTGGAGATAAGCAGTGTTGGAGATGAAGCAGTTCTTGAGTTGCAATCACAGTGAATAGGGTGAGCAGTGGAGTCTGTGTGAAATGATTGAGTTACAGTGGCACTAAACAATGGTGTAGATTTTATTGTTGCTGCTTTAAAAATCTGACTGCAAAGATGTAACAGGCTGTGTAGAGTCTGTTTCTTCAATTCCAATGTGACTTTTTGAATTTGGTATTATCTATAATATCTAACTTTTGGTGAATACATGTTAAGGTAGTATGTGGTAACATTTATGTGAACGTTATCACAAGTGTATACCAACAGTTTCTCATAACCCAAATGAATATTGTTTTGTTGCAGATGTTGCCAACTACTTTTGTTGTTCAACATTGTGACCTCGCCCATGTATAATATACTTTCTGGCAATACTGTGTTCTTTGTCAGAATTACCCAAAGTAGCATTTTTGTTTTAAATAGTTGAGAGGTTTTGGAAATTGACGACAATGTTACCAAATATTACTGAACTTTATTTTAATGAAGACAAATCAAACAGTTTTACATTGCAAGACTTGAATTATTAACATCTTCTGGAATTAAAATCATAGCCAGTTTAATTTGAGGACAAGATTACTTTTCCTCCTCCATCAGAAGCTATGGATGTTCCTCCAAAATATTAGCCTAAATTGGTTGAAAAGCCAAACATTAGGGTTTCTTTGAAGCAATATAGGCCAATTTCTCACTTCCAGAAGAGAGACCCAAGAAACCGGTAAGTTCTTGAATAAGTGATTAGAAGTATTGTAATAGAAAAAGTAAGCTGTTAAATGAGAAGAGAAATAGATTGTATATGTATAAAGCTTGTGTTTTTCTTTGTAATCTAAAAGTGTTGGATTGTTAAATTATAAAGCCACTGGCTGGTAAATTTGGTAATTTGCTGGTATTTATTTCAGGCTTGCTATATGTGAGCTGAGAATAACTAAAATGGTTGTTAGCAACTGACCAGAAGTAAAGATAGCATCCGGAATTCAAAGTAAAAATTTGGTAGAATTTAATAGATTTAAAGTAGAATTACGTTTTATTAATGCTGCCATTGTCATCATTTCTGCCACTCCAAACCATGAGAATCCTATTGGAACAGAGTTAAAAATTATGACTAGATCAAGAATTCCTCCATCAACAATGTGGAGAGCTTTAGGTGTAAAATTCTCTCAACACTTCAGTTATTTTTAGTTGCAAATTTTCTTATGCTATTACTGCACCTTTAAATACTCCTTTGAGACAAATTGTTTTACTTAAGCTGCTTATAATGCTGATTCCTCAACATTGGGAGGAGCTAACACCAGGTAACATCTTTGTAGAACACCTCTACTCAGTACACAAAGATAACTCTAAGCTTCATGGTTGCATGTGACACGACTCATTGGGTTAATGTGCTGGAAATTGAGCCCCACTCTTCCCAGAATTGTCTCAGATGTGAAAAGATTGAATCAATCTATCCAAAGTCTCCAATTTACGTGACTGAACTTTGGTTAAAAGAAAACACTAACCAGGTTTCTGTACTTACAAGAAAATAACTTCATTACAAATAAATCAGCTTTAACCAGTGGCAGTTAGGAAATATGAATTTTTAATTGGACATCTACAGTGTAAACTCTATCCTCCTTAAATTCCCACCCCAGCACAAACAGACAGACACACAAAGACAAACAAAACATGTATATTAAGGATGGTAAAAGAAAACAAAAAAAATCAGGGAAACACAGTTCATAAGCCCCACTCTGCACCACAGGATTTGCCGAGTTGTTTCTTTTGGTTTCTACCAATTCCTTTTGGTTCTTTGCTGTTGACACAGGTTGTTTGCATACCGATGCACTCTTTCATTCACTGGTTGAGAATTTATCCTTTCACTGTCTTTGAAAAAAAGTTCTTTAAATCTTCAACTGGGGATTTGGAGAAAAAGGTGAGTGGAAGAGAACTAGCTGTTACTGGAGAATTTCTGGTGTCTCCACAAATGAGAGAGAAACATTTTTTTAAGCCTTTTTAGGTTGGATGGGTCTCTTTTGTATTAGCCCCCAAAGCTATGATCAGGGGCCAATCAGAATGTTTTTGTCAAGCACTTGCCATTATTTCAGAAGCTGCTGGTTTTTTGTTATCAACTTCTACACTGATTCTTCCAGGAAAATACACTATTGTGTTCAAGTAAACCTGGTTTTTTTAAAAACTGCAGCCATCTCTTTATTTTGTCATCTTGGTTTAAAGCAGTATCTTTTTTAGTTCAGAGTCCAAAATCAAAGGAAATAAATATATGTATCTTTACACCCGTTAATTTTATTGCCAGTCCCATTTTCCAGCTCCAGCTGCTTTATCCTCAATCTGCTACACTTTACAGCCTAGCAGACCTGAGATTGGGTTCAAGAATTTCATTTCGTAACAGCTGTCCCCATCTTTTTCAGACACCAGTCATCAGTAATGAGCCTGCAGTTCTCACTTGCTTGTCCTCTAGACCCATCTTAAAAATACTCACCAAGTCTGGCACTATCCATAGAGAGTTGATGTATCATGTCATTAAAGTTTTGTTAATTTGCATCAATATTTCATTAGTTAGATTTGGGATTAACCTTAATTTTGTTGGATACCAATATAAAAAGATGAAATTGCTAATTTTCAAACGGAAGTAAAATCCTCAGGAACAAAGCTTACAAATGTTAAGTCCTTTGATCATGTTGAAGAGAAACTAATGTCCATGAGACGATTGGCTGAAACATTAGAACTCTGTAAATGTGCACCAGGGTGGCCAACATAACATAAAGAAACTGATTATGTTGGGTGTGGATCCTATGTTATTTGTTATACAAGTCCAGGTACTTAAGATTTCTTTCCTTTGGTAGTTACTTTTCACTGGAAAATATCTGGTACAATAAATGCAAATTCTAATATGGTAATTGTTTTCTGTTTTTTTTAAAGCCCTGGAGAGTCTTGGATTTTGCTCTTACATTAGTGAAGTAAAGGAAGTCCTGCAAGAGTGTAAAACAGTGGCACTAAAGAGGAGAAAAGCAAGTTCACGTCTTGAAAACCTTGGCATACCAGAAGAAGAACTGTTGCGCCAACAACAGGAGCTATTTGCAAAAGTAAGTAGTGGATTTGAAGACAAGTTGTATATGGACATTAAATAGTTATCTGTTTTTTCTAAAAACGTTCCAAAGTGTTGCGGTAACAATCAGCTTCTGCAGTTTCCTTGTTAACTTTTTGCTGAATTAACTGTTTATGACAATTTTTCAGCAGAAGATCTGCCTTTAAGCATTATTCAAATATTTAATTGATTGACATTAAATAATATGTCTGGACCACTGTTGTTAGGTGACTGTTAGAGAGCGAGGTTTTCATTGGAATTCTACTAGGTTAATTGCTTAGCTCTCTGGTGTTTCTAATCTAGACAAGCAAATATGATGTGATAGCCATTTCTGCTGGTCAGATTCCAGGATGCTAAGGTAGACTGGGTGATTGGGAGTTGGGATAATGACTAGTAAGGGGATTCAGATCACTTATGTAGCTTGAGAGATTAAATTTGAAGTAATAATAAAGTAGTACATAACTGGATGAAAAATGAATGCCTTAATTCAAAGTCAGTTTTGCTTTAGCAAATAGTTGAATTATTTAGTTGTTGTTACGTCATGTTAATGGAATGATTTCAATTTGAAGTAAACAACTTCAGACTGAAGAGAGTTGATTGTAGGTGTGGAATGCGTCGTATAGATTTAGTACAAGAGATTCTCCGGCTCTAGGATTTAAAGTAGGCTTACTGCCTTCATTCAAAAGTAGAGAAGTGCAGATGTTGGAAATCTGAAAAGAAGACAGAAAATATTGGAAACACTCAGCAGGTCAGGCAGTGTCTGTTCAGAGAGAAATGATAAATATTTCAGGTCAGGGACATGTCTAGGTAATGTCATTGAGTGGCTATTTAAAAAACATGATTTCAAAGAGTTTAATCTCTGACTTTATAATGCAGTTACCAGACTAATCTGGAATACTTTAGGTTCTGATCACAGTAAAGAAAAAATGCACATGTTCCGGAGAAAAGAGTAACAAAATAATTAACGAATTCAAGCTAAACTTGAAGTATTAATTGCCTATTCTTGTAGTTCATTGATTCTGTATTCTCTTAAAATGGATTGGAGGATTGGACTTGGATTTTCCCCCAGCCGTACCTGGGAAAAATATCATCTTCACTTTTGTAGCTTTCCCTAGCAAAATAGTGAGGAAGGTATCTCTCCCTGTGGAGTCTACTTTATGATCAGTACCACTTTTATGCAGCTTGTATCCAAATAAATTGAGACATGGTCACTTCTATTGTGATGCAAATTGTTGTTTACAGGCATCCACAATGTAGTTTGTTTCATGGCATTACTGTGAAAGCTTCTTTTAAGTAGGGTAGAATAACCCATGCTTTGTTTATCTTGGCCACATCACTGAACGAATACTGCTGAAGTTGTTTCAGCATTTGACATAATTTTAGGTTTTGACATTAATTCTTACTTCTAAATGTGTCATATAGAAACATAGAAAATAGGAGGAGGAATAGGCCATTTGGCCCTTCGAGCCTACTCAGCCATTCAATATGATCATGACTAATCATCCAAATCAGTACCGTATTCCCACTTTCTCCCCATACCTTTTGAGCCCCTTAGCCCTGAGAACTGTATCTAACATCTTCTTGAAAATATTCAATTTTTTGGTCTGAGCCACTTCCTGTGACAGAGAATTCCACAAGCTCATCACTCTTGCTTTAAAAATAATTCCTCATTTCAGTTCTAAATGGCCTGTCTCATATCCTTAGTCTGTGACTCCTGGTTCTGGACTCCCTGACAAATGGGAACATCCTTCCCATGTTTACCCTGTCCAGACCTGTTAGAATTTTATCGGGTTCTGTGCAATCTCCACAGCACAGGCTCCCTCCCCCCGGCCCCGTCACTCATCTAAACTACAGTGAATATAGTCCAATCTGATCCAGTCTCTTTCCATACATCAGTCCTGCCAACCCAGGAACCAGTTTGATAAACTTGTGTTGCACTTCCTCCATAACCAGAACATCTACCCTCATAAATGAGACCAACCGTACACACAAGTTCGGGTGTGGTCTCACTAAGGCCCTGTACAATTGCAGCAAGACATGTCTGCTCCTGTACATAAAACATAGAACAATACAGCACAGGTACAGTCCTTTGGCCCATCATGTCTATGCTAACCATGATGCCATTCTAAACTAATCCCATCTGCCTGCATATGATCCATATGCCTTATTCCCAGCCTGTTCACTTGTCTGTCTCAATGCCTGTTAAATATTGCTATCATGCCGACTTCTGCCATCTCCCCTGGAAGTCTGTTCCAGGCACCTCCGACCCTTTGCATAAAACCTGCCTTGTAAGTGTTGTATAAAAATAATACGAAGACATTGTTGAAGGTGTATAGGTGCCTGGATTGGTGCTCCATGCCATTCTGTATGCTTTCTCCACGACCTTTTATATTTTAAAATATTTAGTCACTTGTTCCTTTAAAAACTACCTGCTTTATGCACTTCCTAAAAACATTCGATGTACTAATCACCCAAGTATATAGAAAATATATTCTAACCACTTTATTTTTGGGTGATATTCTTATGCTGTCTATTTACTACTCAAATTCCCTTGCTATGATGGCCAATATACCATTTGTCTTCACTGCCTGCTGGACCTACATTCTTTCTTGCAGTGAATCTACCTTCCTGTTTTTGCTACCAAAGTGGATAGCCTCACATTTATCCACACCATACTTCATCTGCCATGCCTTTGCCTGCTTATTCAACCATTGAAGCATCTCCGTCACAGGTCTTCCTCCCACCTAGCTTTGTGTCATCTGCAAACTTGGAGATATTACATTTAGTTCCCCCATCTAAACTATTAATATATATCGTGAATAGCTGGGGTCCAAGCACTAATCTCGGCAGTATCCCTTTATGTGCTGCCTCCGCTCGGGGAAGAAAAGATTTTTTTTTCTAGTATTTCCTGTCTACCAACCTGATCTCTATTCATTTCTGTACAACTACAACAATCCCATACATTTTAATTTTGTTCCTAATCTTTTTTTATGTGGAACCTTCTTGAAAGCCTTCTGAAGGTCCAAGTCAAGCCACATCCACTGGCTCCAAATGATCAACTCTACATTCCTGAAAATAATCCAATTGAATTGTTAAGCAATATTTCCCTTGCATAAATCCATGCTCACTGTCTGATCCTGTCGTTGTTTTCCAATTGCTCTGCTATTAAATCTTTTATAATGGACTCTAGCATTTTTGTCCATTACTAATGTCAGGCTGACTGGTCTATGATACCACTTTCTCTCTCTCTCCTTTTTAAGTAGTAGGCAATCAATAGATACTGTGATATATTAATCACCAGTACAACAATTAATATTTTACATGTCAAAAGAACAATTTCTACTTCGTTTGAATTGATTGGAAAATGTGATATTACTTAATCTGGATTCCAGATACATGTGTGAACAAGTTCATTTAACTAAGTTTGGAATTCCTACAGCTGTCTGGTTCCTCTCTACAGATATTGCTGGACCTGAGTTTCTCCAGCAATTTCTGTTCTTATTTGTTTCGAATATTTTCTGTCTTTTTCTCAGTTTTCGGATTCTGTGCTTTCCAAGTACACGATGCTGTGCCAAAATCCTTTCCAAAAGCTGTTTTCTCTATTTTTTTCCCATTATACGACATTCATTTGAACTTGTAGATATGTTCCTGGAAGCTAATGCTTCACTGAAAACTATTTGCATCAAAGCAAGTCTCCCTTTTAAATGTAAATAATACCAGAAATTGCATTTTCAACCGTGGATTTTCAGACCCAATAACTAACATAGACATGCAATATAAACAAAGCAGTGCAAATAAGTCTTGTACAGTCCTTGTTATGTAACAAAGAATCACAGTTGAGATGTTTTTCTCCTGATTACTGTAAAATAAAGTTATACCATAATGCCTGATATATAGTAGACATACAGTCCTTTCTGCTACAACATGAAGTTATGCTGTTGTGTGACCTTGTGCGTTAGAAAGTTACACAACAAAAATAACAGGGCTTTTGGAAAAAATAGGCACCAAAAATATTACACAAAGTTGAAACAATTTTGTAGTTAGCCTAACACAAAGGATAGCACAGTTTAAATTAATTTTAAATTCATATCTAATAATGAAATAATTCAGTAAATTTAACACTTTTATCTTCAAATTTTTTAAAGATACTTGATGGGGCAAGCGGGTGGTTTTGAGGTTGCTGAGTTGTTAAGATGGGCTGAGGTTCATTGTCGTCGTCGTCGTCGTCGTCATCATCATCACCACCTTGTCCTCCTTCAGGTGCAGTTGTGGTTGCAGGGTTAGGACGAAATATAGTCAATCCAGAAGTGAATGGCTGTGATTCATTGTCTTCTGACTGTTCCTTGGGGGTTGGCTTAAAAAAGTCTAGTTTTTGCTGCTTTGTCATTTTTCTTCTTTCATAAAGAAGCTGTTCATAGGGTGCCAAATAAGACCTTATTCCACAAACTGCTACTCTGCTGCATTCTGCATTGTAATCGTTGTCTTATAAGAGCTGCAGCTGCTTCTCAAACTTCCCTCAGGATAGAAGACAAAAGACAAGTGGAAAGCTGTCCTGGTGCTGCATCTTGGACTTCATCTCCAGCTTCCGTTTACCCCTCAGCAACAAGTTGTTGTAGATTAGTGGTCTTCACAGTGGGAGTCAAGCAGCTCTTCAACGTCCTCATTCTTCAAATTCAACTCGCTTTGCAAGAGCAACACAATGTTCTTTGATTCTTGGGAGCTCCTCTGATGGTTCAAAGCCTTTAAATTCATGAATAAAATCTGGGCGAAACTTCTGCCAAACTGCATGCAAGCAGTCCCTACTGACATCACCCTAGACCTCCAAGATAATGTCAATTGCACTCTTGATGTTAAAGTTCTTCCAGAATTGAAGAACACTGTCCTTATTACCCCTCAGTAGCTGCAATCAGCCTCTTAAATGTGCACCTTAAATAATAAGCTTTAAAAGTTGCTATTATACTCTGGTCCATGGGTTGAAGGAGAGCGGTTGTGTTTGGA